CTCATGAATGAGATTAATGCCCTTATAAGATGAGGCCGGAGAGCCACACAACTGTCTTTCTGCCATGTGAGGACACAGCAAGAAGACAATTGTCTGTAAACGAGGAAAACCAAAACCAAAATCACCAAAAACCCAACTATGCTGGCACCCGGATCTCAGATTTCCAAACTCCACAACTGTGAGAAATAAGCGTTTGTTGCTTATGTCACCCAGTTTATAGTATTTTGTTACAGCACCCTGAGCTGACTGAGACATAGACCTCCACCAATAAACATATGGATAAGACCAGGAAAGACAGCAACATGATGGGAGAGGTGAACTCTCACTCTGCTACTAATTAGCACATCGCTAGTTAGTGCATAATTTATTAACAGTTTCCTTTTTATTTGACATGGCTTGATACCTGGTTCACAGCTTTGAGAAGAAGGTGGCCGAGCTCAGGTACATAAGGGGTCACATTGCCCCCGATGAGCCTCCACATAACCCTATTGGAGTGGAAGTGCCAAACATGTGTGCTTGGGAACATGCATTTAGCAGGGTCCATAGTGAATCCAGACTAGGGATTTCATAATCCTTAGAAATGTGGATGCTTCACCAGAGCCCCTGAGGTCAAAGCCTCTGACCAGAGAAGAAGAGAGTGGGGGAGAGAGAGAGAAAGAGAAAGAGAATGAGGAAGAGAAAATGGACTTAAAGCAGTTGAGAGACAGAAACTCACAGCTAGAAATAAAATGGGTCTTTTGAGCATTCTCTGATTCTGAACTCCCAAGGTTTTTTTGTAATCTAACACTGAAGGGCCGGAGAGAATATGGAAATCATGCACCAGGCTAGAAAGACCAGAGCTGGCATTAGCATGAGGCGAGGCCTTCTGCACAGCCAGAATTTCTGCAAACTAGTAAGACTCATTAAACAAACTTTAATTTCTGTGTGTTCTCTCCACTGTACCTTAAAATAAATGTATTCTTCATGATCTGGAGAGATGCCTACTCTTCTAATTTGAAAGAAATATAAATGCTGGTAGGATAGTCTCTGGAGAATGTTACTACCTATGGTCATTAAGGGAGAAAGTAATGAGGGAGCAGGAGATTAACTAGTTAGTTGAGGAATCTACTAAAATAAGGGAATTGGCACCTCAGGGCCTAATCTTGAAAATTGTTCCGGCACAGGCAGCCGTATGATGAGCAGAAGAGGAATGGGATGGGGAATGCAGAAAGAAAAAAAATCATAATCAGAAATGCTAATCAAAATGTAATAAATCTAAAGAGCTAAACTCTTTTAAATAACAGCAACAGTATTGCTATGACATCTTTATTCAGCCATCTATTACATTTATTAAAAATGCTCTCATTCCTCAATGAGGAATGGGCTATTCCAGCACATGGGCCAGATAGAGAAATCCAAGAGTTAAATTGGTGATGGCTGCAGCTACATTCTTCATATCTGTGCACTGCATATGGGATGCGGTGCTTGATGACAGCAGCAATAGCTAAACACATCTCTGAATTGTAATTGTCACAGGGTTCTTTCCCGGGTTTATCTGCCTTCCTTAGCATTTTAAGTCTCAGCTACTTAATGAAATGTCATCTTTTCATAGCTGGTGACCAAATAATTGTTTAAAGTGAATCAGCGTGTGAAAGGTGAAGGTGTTTATTACCTGAAACATAATTCATTGTGATACTTCGACTCACGTCTCAAGCTAACTAAAGGATGTCATCTTGCAGGACACATAACCTTTTACCACCTCACACTTCGCCAATTATAGCAAATTTCCCTTTATCCAGAGTAGCTGGAGATAGGTGGTTTTAATTTCCAGTATTCTGATTAACTGGGGATTGACATATCATCCCATTTTCAGAGAATGAAAATTCATTTTCTCTGGATGATGGCCATAGCTTTTTGACCTTTCTGTTTCTTCTAGTCTCTCTTTGCGTTAATCTTCTTAAAGAGTAACTCATTTCTCTCCAACTCAAAACCTTCAAAAACTTGATTGAATAAGCTATCATTCAAGGGCATTCATTGTTCCCAGCATATCTACTTTCATCCCCATTTATTTACCCTCTCTGCTCTCACCCTCTTCCTCATAAACACCCTGACCTTTCTCCATGCCTGATGTTCTCTCTACAGAGGAGGTTTTTCTACTCTGTTTCAGTGTATTTCAAATCCACCCACCCTTAAAGACTCAGGCCAATTCTCTCTTCTTGGTGAGGCCTCTTTTCACCTCTTCCTTCCTCCAGGTCCAGTTTTTACATCTTCCTCCTCTGAAGTTCCATGTTCTTTTCCTTTTCCTTTTAAGACAGGGTCTCATTCTGTTGCCCAGGCTGGAGTGCAGTTGTGCAATAATGGTTTACTGCAGCTTTAGCCTCCTGGGTTCAAGTGATCTTCCCACTTTAGCTTCTTGAGTAACTGAATAGCTGGGACTACAAGCATATGTCACTACACTGACTAATTTATTTTTATCTTTGGTAGAGACAAGGGTCTCATTATGTTTCTCAGGCTGATCTTGAACTCCTGGACTCAAGCAGTCCTCTTGCCTCGGCCTCCCAAAGTGCTGGGATTATAGGCGTGAGCCACCATACCTGGCCCCTGAAATCCCATATTCCTGATCTCTGTCTGCATCTCTCGGGAAATGACTTTCTCCTTTAAGTTATCATCGTTTACATCAATTTTATCTTAACCTACTAGTCACAATTTCCTCGAGTGAATTATTTGTGACAGACATGTCTCTGTTAGTCCCCTAGGTAGCACCACATGAATTGCACACAGTAGGCGTGCCTTAAATGGATGAACCAAAGAACCATAATTTTATCACCAAAATGGGACAGAATGTGCTTTTCTCTTTCTTGGATGATTCATAGAGCACTTCAGGATCTCACAGTGCTTTTGATTTATTATGATTAGCATCAACTATCATTAGAGGGGCTCCAAATAAGTCTGGATATGTGAATTTTCTGGTTTCAATTTCTGAACAAAACTGAGAGCAAGTACATTTAGCCACCAGGGCACTGACAGAACCCGAAGGAAAAATACAAGTGTTCATTGACCTCACATAAAACACAGTAAACGGCACAGAGAATTAGTAGAAAATTAAATCCATCCAGACTTGGAGTAATTTTGCCTAAGAGAGTCTAATTAGTCACGTTGGAGTGTGATCAGAACCTCCATATTAATACAACCCACCCACGCCCTCTCCTTCAGATTGTGACTTTAGGAAACATATCACGGGAGAGTACCGTCTGAGCACTGTCCAGGGACTAGGCAGAATTGAGGCAATTTCCCCCTCAATTGTTGCCACAGCCACACTGGGGATTGCAATTTTACTGTGGCTCCTTGCCCCAAGGGCTGCAGGGCATGGCATTTGTTTCAGAGCTGGCACTGTCACTACCCATGGAGCCATGCCTGTAGGGCTGGCAAACATCCAAGGAGAATCATTTACTTGCAGAGAAAAAGAGGAAAGAGGCCAGTTAACAAACAAAGGTGAGAGGGCCATGTCCATGATGGCACGCCATGCTGTGAGCAGGATCAGGTGAAGAGGCTGAGGAAGAAAGAAAAGGGGAAGTAGGGGGTTATGAAGGGATATGATCAAGGTAGCAATGGTGCAGCTGCCAAATAAGCTATTAGAAATCAATCAAGGAGAATTAGGTGTCAGGAAAACATAGGAGACCAGCCCAGGCAGAGAGTCAACACCTCTGAAATCTGCAGAAGTTGAAGAAACAAAGCAAGATGGGTTGTCAACATGGAGCATTCTGGAGTTTTCACCCCAGAAAATTGCTGCATGATCTCAGCATTCAGGAAAGGACCCAGATGCCAAGGGAACTTTCTATTCCAGCCCTAGCTGCATTTATATGCCTTTTGACTCCAGTGAAACTCAGTTTCAGGTCTGCTGTTCTAGAGAATTGGGAGAGGGGTGCTCTCTGAAAGCTGGTGGCGGGAAGTTGGTGTGATCCCACAGCTGGTTATATTATTAGCAGCTATGGGCAGTAGGAGCCAAGCTCACATGCCCTTCCAGAGGACCCGAAGCTTGCCCCAGAGTAAGTCTGGGGTAGACAGCTAAGTACAGGTGCTTGTGAAATGGGGCCTTCTACAGTACAGACTCTACAACATGAAAGCTAAAAAGAGACATTTTTGTGTATTACAAATAGAAAAACAAGCTTGGAATTAAGTGGTCAGCCCAAAGTCACAGTATCAGAACCTGGGAACCCATATCTCCTGAATTCCCGTCTATTAAATCATATCCACATGGTCTTCAGAGGTTATGCCAAATCCATGTCAAGCTTTTTATGTTCCATCTGATTTGTCTGAGGCAAATTCTAGTCTATCTTCTGTGAGGTGGAAATTGATTTTTAAAACAGTTACGGTGAGGAGATGTACAAATGAGTGAAGACATGCATCCTTGAGCAACCTGCCAAGCCACTCTGAATTCCATTCTTTTTATGTGGAAAATGGGGACAGAGCATCCCCCTTAAGAAATTATTGTTTGGACTGAATAAATAAAAACGTAGGTAGAGCATCAGGTACATAATAGGTCCTTGCACCATCAGAAAAAAAGGAAAAAGAGATTCAAGAATGTTCAGTTTGGAGCCGGGTGCAGTGGCTCACGCCTGTAATTCCTGCACTTTGGGAGGCTGAGGCAGGCAGATCACTTGAGGTCAGGAGTTCGAGACTGGCCTGGCCAATATGGTGAAACCTCGTCTCTACTAAAAATACAAAAATTAGTCAGGGGGTGGTGGTGCGTGCCCGTAGTCACAGTTACTCAGGAGGCTGAGGGAGGAGAATTGCTTGAAGCCAGGAGGCAAAGGTTGCAGTGAGCCGAGATTGCACCACTGCACTCCAGCCTGGGCCACAGAGTGAGGCTCCATCAAAAAAAAAAAAAACCCCAAAACCAAAAACCAAAACAACAACAAAAAACTCCACACCAAAAAGAATGTTTAGTTTTGGTGCTATGTGTATTACTGCATTAAGGATTCTTAGAATTTAGTTAACTCCTGCATGTTTTCTTTTTGCAGTGCTCTGCTGACCAGAAAGAAGGACAATGTGAAAGGAAGAAAGAAAGAAAGAAAGAAAAAAAAATTACTTACTAGACCAAGAATCAAGAGATCAGGTTCTAATTCTAGCCCTGTTACCTGTCAGTGGGATAATCCAGTGTAAACCATTTAGAGTCTACAACAGTTTCTTCCTTTTTAAAATTCAGTAATAGACTGTGTTTTCCCCGTGTATCTTACAGGATTGTTGTAAAGATCAAACAAATTAATAAATGAGCAAATGTTTTGACAATTAACTCACAATTAATTAACAGTGGCTTGGTATTGAGGGTGCCATCTCTCCTTTCATCTCCACAATAATCCCATGCAGCAGGCATAGCTCGATCCATTTGAAAACCTGAGCCCAGCGAGATACCCAGTGACTTGCTAGAGCTTAATAGCCATAGAGCAGGACAGCTGGGATTCAAAACCAAGCCTCCTGACTCTAAGTGCTTTTCTCACTATTATGTCGAATCATATGAAATTGCTATTTTTGTAGGTCAAAAAAAAAATCAAATGTCAGCAATTTCATATGGTTTAACCTGATAGAACACATCTGTACAAAGAACTATTGAAATTCAAGAGAGCAGAACTATTGAGTAGTAGCTTAGGCTCTGATTAGCACCATTTAGGAACAGTGTTCCCTTATACCATGCAAAGGATCAGAAAAGAGTCATAAATTGCCTGTTTCATTTAAACCAGAATTGGCAGAACCCTGCTCTAGGGGGTTGGGGAGACAGTTACACAATGGTTCGGCCACAGCTCATGCTTAGGAGGCAAGCTCTCTTAGTTAGCACCATCCTTAACTGGGGTCTGTCTTGGTATGGTGTTTTGTGTGTAATATTCACTCATTGTCTTAAAGAAAACTGTGAATCTATAATGAACCTAAATTCAGGTGCAGACTGAGATACTGAGTAATCATTACATTTAGTAATGCTAAGTGGGTGTCTTTAGCAAAATTGAGATTTTTAAAAATGCAGATTTAGATTGAACTATTTATGAAAATTACGGTATTTTGGTGGGGTAGTCAAAGTATTTGCTCACAGGATCCTGGGAGATCAGACAATGACAGGGAGGATGCTGGTTGGAGCTTCTCCTTGGTTATATTGGAAAAGAGAGACTGAATTTGTTCTAGGATAGAACTGGCCTAGCATCACCTGGACTGGAATCTTGATGTCCACATGGCACGATATAAAATTGGAGAGCTGACCTATGGGGAAAATGGATACAAAGTATCATGGCTGTCTTACCTGGATCCCAAAGGCAAGATTACACCCCATGGATAAGGGTGGGAACTTTTTGTGAAGATAATGCGTATTTATAGTATTGGTCATCGTGAGACAGGGAAAGAGGAGGGCCAAGAGAGGGGAATCTTCTCTCTGGAGCTTGAAAGTGAATTCAGAGCCAGGATTTAAGTAGGGGAGAAGTCCGTCTGGGTATCCCTGTAGGATTGAATTCAGCTGGCTACTTGCAGAAGGTGAGCCTTTAGTATAGAATTTTGAGAATTTCCTCCTGGAGTTGTATATCTTTTACGACAGGACTTCAGTACATCTTTCCTGATCATTACAGATCAGCTTCCAGGTAAAGCAACGGATTGACCACATGTATCTACTTTCAGTTCCTTCTGAAATTCCTCTGAAATAATAGAAACGGATTTTAAAAATCTTTATCCATAAGGACAAAGACAGTAGAAGGGGAGGTGATGACAATTAAATTTTGGAGGTTGGACACCAGCTGGATGAGTGATAACTGATTTAACAGGTCTGAGAATGTATGGGAAATGAGTGGAAAAGACTGAAAAGTAATTGGAGTTAAATTGATGAACTCCCCAGAGGGTCAAAAATTGGTGTCACTACAGAAGTGGCTGTAAAAGTGGGGGCTAATGACAGAAAGATTTGTTGAAAGTCTGGGAAGGAGTTAGGGCCCCAAATCCCTGCTACCACACAGGGAACCTGGAATCCTCCCTCTCTCCCATTCTGGCAGAGGATTGAAGAAGGTAAATCAGAAAGTCACTAAAGTGAGGAGACACTAGGCACAGTTGAGAATGGAAGTATCCTAGTGAAAATGAAAGGTTGGCCAAGCTAATTCTCTCTATAGTAAACCCCTCTGCTAACAGCCTGCACACTTGCCCAGAGCCCTCAGTTGGCCCCTTCACCGTCTCACCCAACTTTGGCATATAAACAGACTACCAAGGTTACTATGCGTGCCAGAGGGAAGCCCATAGCATGACATCTATAGATAAGAAATACACAAAATTAAAACCACTTTGAGGAAACAAAAATTAAACAGGTGCAAGAACACTTAAACTACTTGATATTTTCAGAAATGTAAGAGAGGATAATGTATCTGTAGAACAAGGATACAATATTGTCTATAAGAAAACAGTCAGAAAACAAACAAAAAAAGCTCTTGGAAGTTAAAAATGATGGCAGAAATGAAAAACCTGGAAAAGCCGAGATATAAGATTGAGAAAATTTCCAGAAAATAAAATAAGAAGGCAAAGAGATGCTAAATAGAAAGAAAAAGGGAAAAAAATATCACTGCAGAATGTCTTCACCCTGAAGAAAAAAAAGAACAAGGAAATTTTGGAGAAGATATTATCACAAAAATAATTAAAACAAATTTCACAGAATGGAAGGGCATGGGTTTCCAGACTAAAGTGGCCCACACCAAGGCACACTGTGAAATTTTAGAATATTGGCAACAAAGTAAATATCCTACATGCTTCCAGAGTGGAGAGTAAAATTTCATACACAAAGCACGTGAAATTGGGATGGCATTGAACATCTCCACAGGAATACTGGAAGCTAGAAGACAATGGAGAAATGCCTTAAAATTTTTGAAGGAAAATGACTCCCAGCATGGAATTCTGTACCATGCATGCCAAATTGTAAATTTAGGGTGAGGGTAGAATAAAAGACATTTCAGACACAAATCTCAAAAAGGTTATCTTTTATATACTTTCTTCTAGAAAGTAACAATTAAACAGGTGATTAAATCCAGAAAGAGGAAGATATTGGACTCATGAAAGTGACAATCTATTAAAGGATAGAAAAAAAGAGAATTCCTAAAGCAATTGTCTTAGTCTATTCAGGCTGCTATGACAAAAATACCATAATAAACAGCAGAAGTAGTTAATAAACAGCAGAAATTTATTTCATACAGTTCTAGAGGCTGGAAAGTCCAAGATGTAGGTACTAGAAGGTTCCGTGTCTGGTGAGAATATACTTTTGATTCAAAGACAATGTCTTTTTGCTGCGTCCTCACCTGGTTTAAGGGACAAATGAGCTTTCTTGGGCTTCTTTGTTAAGGCACAATCCCATTCATGAGAGCAGAGCGTCTCGCGAATAATCACCACCTGAAAGGTCCTACCTTGTAAGACCACTGCACTGGGGGTTAGGATTGCAACATATGGATTTTGGAGAGACACAAACATTCTGATTGCAGCAGCAATGGTGAAAGGAGATCTCAAGATGACAGCTGTGCACCGGGTACGGAGAGTCACAGGCCCTAATTGGAGCACATCAGAAGACTCTGGGAAAGATTTCTTTAAGACACAATTGGATAGAACAGCTGATGAGAGGATTTAGACAATTGGTGGAGGGCTTGAAGTCAGCTGGATTAGTGATAGTTATGTGGAAAACTAAACAAAGTAAACAGTTGTGGACTCTGGGGAAATAAAAATTGTGTTTAAAAGCAAAAGTAATTCTCTCAGTCACTTAGTCAATTCAGGGTGTGGTAACAAACTACCCTAGCCTGGGTGGCTTATAAACAACAGAAATTTATTTCTCACAGTTCTGGAGGCTGGGAAGTCCAAGACCAAGGTGCCAGCAGATTTGGTGTCGGGTGAGGGCTCACTCCCTGATTCACCGATGGCTGTTTTTTACTGTAATCTCACACAGTTACTCTCTGGGGCCTTTCTTATAAGGGCACTAATCCCATTTGTGAAGATTAGGTCAGCCTTCATGACCTAATCGCCTCCTAAAAGTCCCCACCTCCTTATATAATTGTATTGAAGGTTGGGATTTAACATACAAATTTTGGGAGGACACAAACATTCAATCTATGGCAGCAATCATAATACGTTCTGTATCTCAGCTGTGAATAGCATTTATGTATCCACAACAGTCTAACAAATGAGTACTGATATAACCAAAATTAAATATCTTAGGTGGATAGCAAGATAGTAAAAGTGTAAAGGATGAAAGGTGGGAGTAAAGGTGGGGGTTTAAGAGAGCAAAATAGTCATAATCTATTATGATAAATTAACAACAAATACACATGAATATGTTATATGTAAATCAATATATATTAATATAAATATTTTATTAATATAAGCAATGCATATTATATATTTATTATATATGTATTATATAACATACTTATTTACAGTGTAAATATATGTATTATATATGTGTATATGTATTATACAGTTGAACTTTGAACAACATGGATTTGAACTGTGAGGGTCCACTTATACACAGATTTTCTTGTACCTCTGCCACTCCTGAGAGAGCAAGACCAACCTCTTCTCTTCTTCCTCCTCCTCAGCCTACTCAATGTGAAGACAATGAAGATGAAAACCTTCTGATAATCCACTTCCACTTCATAAATAGTAAATATATTTTCTCTTCCTTATGATTTTCCTAATAATATGTTCTTTTCTCTAGCTTACTTTGCGGTAAGGATACAGTATATATACATACACAATACAAAATATGTGTTAATTGGCTGTTTATGTTATCAATAAAACTTCTTTCTGGTCATCAGTAGGTTATTAAGAGTTAAGTTCTTGGGTAATCAAAAGTGATACTCAGATTTTTTACTGTGCAGGGGGGGTCAGGGGGTCAGTGCCCGTAACTCCTGTATTGTTCAAGAGTCAATTTTGTGTGTGTGTGTGTGTGTAAAAGTCTAGCTGCCTATGGGTAGGGAGAAATTGATGAGAGGAGATGGGGAGGGTAAGGGTTACTAATTTTAAATAACCTGCTTTATGATATTATTTGGTTCTTTAAATGATGTGCAGATATAATTGATAAAATTCTTTTTATTTAAGTTTTTATTTTTACTTTTTAAAAATGAGACAGAGTCTTATTGTGTTGTCCAGGCTGATCTTGAACTCCCGGGCTCAAGCAATCCTGTCTTGACCTCCCAAAGTACTGGGATTACAGTTGTGAGCCACCACGACTGGCCAAAGTGGAAAGAACATGGACGCTTGGTTCAAAATTCTTTAAAATGTTTAGACCATGTGCAGCT